TGTGTGTGTGTGTGTGTGTGTGTATAGTCTTTAGCAGTAGTCCTTTGTTCATCAGAGTGTCTCCCTAAGCCAAGCAATTTCAGTGATAGCCTAGGGTAATTTTGCAGAAGCAATCAGGCTCTCCCAGGGTCCATCCAGTTCTCTTCACAGATGAAATTCAGTACTGCAAGGGTTGTATTTTGATACTGTTGGCCCATACCAACTAAATTTTAAGATTTATTTTATGGCAGCTGTCTTCACTGCTTTGAAGTACCTGGCATTTGAGTACAAATAGTTTTTTATAAACAGTGATCCTAAATGTTTTATATTCATTTCAAGTTATAATCATTCCATAGTATAGCTTTATTTTTGGTATAAACAGTCAAATGAAACTTACAGACAAGTAGGTTTATGTCATTATCAGATTATTAAACCAAACGCACTGCCATTGAATTGGACCTGACTCATAGCGACCCCTCCTTGGGTTTCCGAGGCAGTATCACTATGGAAGTAGATTGCTCAGCCTTCCTTCCAAGAAGCAGATTTGTCACCTGTTATTTTTTTAACTAAACTTTTTAAACTTTCTTCCCCTTCAGGAAGGAGGAAATGAAGGTATCCCAGATTCATGAATGTATCTGTAGAGACTGTATATTGACTACTAATCTACCACATGCTCCATGGGCCAGGAACTTATGTACAGTAAAATTTGATTAATTAGATTGCTTAAAAAATGGTTAATAGCTTAACTAATTCAATTAGCATTCTTTGCTGAAGTTATTTTGAAAATGTATTATTTCTTGCTCTAATCTTTAGAATTCAGTTCACTAGTGTTTTATGACTTTTATTCAAAAGCATCAGTTCTCTCATAGAGGATTATAGATAAATAGTAAGAAATTAAACTCATTACATACATAGAAGATTAACAACAACAACAAAAAAATCCTCCAGCCTGTCATTATCCTTTCCTCTTTATTCTAATGTGAAATATAAGAACACATATTCTGGACAATTTAAAGTTATGGTTAACTGAAGATTTTACTGTTCTGTGTATGGATTGTGACATGCATGTTCTCTTTTCCTTTCTTCTGAGATCATGGGTGCAGTGAGATACCTTTGGTTATTTAAAGGGTTTCCTCACATACAGGAACTTTTCCTTTTTTAAAACTTTATCAAACCCACATAGAGTTGTAATGACCAGTTTTAAAATATTCCAAAACCATATTATCCTGCAAGTTGAAGTAATGATAGTTCTTATACTGTGTGCCAGGAACTGTTCTACAGTTTTTATGTAATTTAACTGATTTAGTCCTGAGACAGAGGATCATCTAAGTCCCAGGGAAGCTAAATAATTTGCCCAGACACACACACACAGCTAAATGGTAGACCCAGGATTTAAACCCTAACATGCTGGTTTCATTTGTCCCTTTTACTAGTACACATAGTGTATCTCCAATAGAACCAAAAAATAAACTCACTGCTGTCGAGTCGGAACCGACACGTAGCGACCCCTCCTTGGGTTTCCAAGGTGGTTGTTGTTGTTGTTGTTATGTGCCATCGAGTCGGCCCCAACTCACTACGGAAGTAGGATTGCCCAACCTTCCTTCCGAGGAGTGGCTGGTGGGTTTGAACCACAAGCCTTCTGGTTAGCAGTCAAGTGCTTTAGCCACTATGCTACCAGAGCTCCTTCCAAGGTGGTATCGCTATGGAAGTAGATTGCCCAATCTTCCTTCCGAGGAGTGGCTGGTGGGTTTGAACTACCAGCTTTCTGGTTAGCAGTTAAGTGCCTTAGGCAGTATACCACCAGAGATAAGTTAGAATAGCTCTGTCATGATCCTGTTTCTCTGTTTTGAAATGTTAACTAAAAATTCTCAAATTTCTCTGTGCCACATTCAGCACAGAACACAGTAAGAAATGGGACCATTCTATTCAGTGTAAAAACAGAGTTTCTGTTTTCTTTCTAACATTGGACATTGAGATACAGTTCCTGCTGTTGTTGTTGTTATGTGCCGTCGAGTCGGACCTGACTCATAGCGACCCCTCCTGGATTTCCCAGGTAGTACATGGGGCAATCTACTTCCATAGTGATACTGCCTCGGAAACCCAAGGGAGGGGTCGCTATGAGTCGGGTCTGACTCGACGGCACATAACGACAGGAACAACAACAACAACATCCTGCTAGTACATCTATTTTCACTAACTATATATTTTTTATATGTATTTTGTCATGTTGGGGACAGAGGATCTAATAATTATTTTAAAAGGTAATTGGCATTTACCTATCCCTTAGCAGCCCTCATAACTGGGAAGGTATGTTTCTTTCATACAAATTACATTCTTTGCCCCTCCTTGGAGCTTTGTGTGCTCTCTGTATAAGAATGATATAATTCTTATTTAGTCACTAATGCCAGATGACTGGTGGTATGATGTTAACTCTCAACTGCTAACCGATAGGTCAGTGGTTCAAACCCACCAGCTGCTCTGTGGGTGAAAGATGTAGCAATGTGCTCTATGAAAGATTTCAGCCTTGGATACCCTATAGGGCAGTTCTCCTCTGTCCTATGGGGTTAGTATAAGTGAATATCAACTTGATGTCAGTGAGTTTGGTGTTTGGCTTTTTACGTAGATGACTTCAAGAGTAGGAATATGTTCACTTAAAAAAATAAAAAACTATGGAATTCATGTTGTAATTTAGTTAGACTATTTCAGACGAAGTCAAAAATAAAAGATAGCCATTTTATATACAGTTTGAAAATAGATGCTGTAGGTTTATAGAGTATCCATCTAAATTGTCTTTATAAAAGGGAAATTTCTCATTGTTGATTTAGGTAAACTACATTTATTTTTCTCCCCAAGTAATATCTAGCATTTTAGGCAAAACGTGTATTTTTCTGCTGTTTGTCCTACTGCAGTTTTCATTATATGAAATGTTATGTCATTTTTTAATCTTCATAAGACAGAGGTTTTGTGCAAATGTATAGATAGTGCAGCTGTCTTCATTATATATACTCCATAATTTAGGTTAACCCTAAGTCATAGTTGCTAATCCGCTGTTATACACTTAGAAAGATTAAAGATTCTTTTAATTGATAGTACAAGCAATTTTCTTTATATCAATGGAAAAAAATTTCTACTTTGGAGTGAAAGTGAGACAAATTAATTTATGGAAGATTCTACAGAAGTGATTTGTTTAGATTGTTTTAGCATAGTGTTCTGTAACAGTTACATAAGGTGTAACTTTAATGAAGATGTAACTGGCTTATTTGTAGGGGAAATTAGTATGACACTGAGTTCCTAATGATCCTTTACTTTCAGGGAAAAAAGAAATCCTTCCCTTCCATGTCACTTTATCATAATTGCTAATAACAAATAAAACATATTTCCTCTTTCAGCCTAAAAAGTTTCAGAAATCAAAAATATTTCTTGAATAAATGGTATAGCCCAGATCTTCCCATTACAATTGATTTGTTCTTTGCATTTTTTTAAATATCTACAGCTCGAAAAACAAAGAAAAAAATAAAAGGAATTCAGCAAGCCACTACAGGAGTCTCACAAGAAACTTCTGAAAATCCTGTTAACAAAACAATAGTTCCTGCAACATTACCACAACTCACCCCTACTCTAGTGTCACTACTGGAGGTCATTGAACCTGAGGTGTTATATTCGGGATATGATAGCTCTGTTCCAGATTCGACTTGGCGGATCATGACTACACTCAACATGTTAGGCGGTCGCCAAGTAATTGCAGCAGTGAAATGGGCAAAGGCAATACCAGGTAAGATGCAAAGGATGGCAAACCTACAGTGCAGACTTTGGTATTTTCTTGCACAAAAACTCTCTGGCTCTTTATCATCTTGGTGCCCTGGAGTGGCTTCTTTATCTGGTTCTGGGGATTAACAAGAGGAAATCAGGTCAGTATGGGAGAGTAGGAAGTCTGTAATTATACTTTTATACCCTTTCCCATTTTTCAGGTTATTACGAAGAGCACAGTAATTTCAGATAGATAGATGATGTAATGTCAGACTGGAGTTACAGGAGTTACTCAGAATTTTTTCTACACTGAAGACTAGGAAAAGAAAATGTATAATATTTCTAAGAATTTAGTTTGTTTTCCTTCAATGTCTATTTTTGTTTTAAATCAAGTTATTTGTAAAATTGGTTAAAAACAAATATCAGGTGTGAATGGTACTAAAGTAGAATGATTTAAACTCTGCAAAAAATGAAATGATACACATTGGAAGTTGATGCAGAACTGCAGAGGTCAACGTTAGTGTCAATGCTAACTTTCCAGAAAAAGAAGCAGGGAAATTCAGAAAAAGAAACAGAGGGGAATTGACAAGTCTATTTTCAAATATTTGAGGACAGAACAAGAAGAGGTAGCCTGAGCTCCTATAATCCCTATTCTGTCAAGGAGGAAAAAAGTGTAAATATCAGAGGAAATTTTTAATTTCAATTTATTGATTGAGTACTGTTCTAAACCAGGACTCTCAGCTTTCTGTTTTGCTATTTAGTTCATGTTTATTTTAAAAAAAGGCAAAAGATGACCAAAAAATACTGGCTACTCTTTAGTTTTATTACACTGAATAATATTGAAATGCACTGAGGGCTTAGGTCTAAAGATGACAAAAGAAAACTGCCCAGCTTATGCCTCCTTTCCTCTGTTTGTTAGTAGTTTTCTCAAACAAGGATAATTGATAGCTGGTCCTTGGCTGTACTGTAAGAGATGATCTTCTCTTTAGCAACTAGAGTAGGTCCTTATACTTACTTCTTTTAATTCAGGATTCAGGAACTTACACCTGGATGACCAAATGACCCTGCTTCAGTACTCATGGATGTTCCTCATGGCATTTGCCCTGGGATGGAGATCATATAGACACTCAAGTGGCAACATGCTGTGTTTTGCTCCGGATCTGATTATTAATGAGTAAGTCATATGTGAGTCATCTTTCCAATATTCAAAGGTTATTTTTAACCAGGTGATGTTTTCCTGATGGACTTCTATTGTGATAATTCAGGACTGAATAGGCCCTATTAGGTATCCCATTAGGTATCCCATTAGGTATCCCATTAGGTATCTTAGAACTGGAGAGACTGTAAATAGAGTTGTGTATCAATGCTTTGGACAGGCCACTATAATACAGAGCAAATGTACATGTGCCATTCTTACTATCCTAGGATATATCTGAGGATATTTTTTAGGATCTTACTGTGAAATTCTTTTAATTGCATAACCCTATTCCAGGAAAGAAAAGGAAAATAGTAAAACTCATGTTGATCTGACTGTTGGTAGGGATAGTTACAGATGAGGACATCTAGGCCAAACAGAGGAGCTCTGGTAGCGTAGGCACTTGACTACTAACCAGAAGGCTGGCAGTTCAAACCCACCAGCCACTCCTTGGAAGGAAGATGGGGCAATCTACTCCCATAGTGATACTGCCTTGGAACCCAAGGAGGGATCTCTATGAGTTGGGTCTGACTTGACGGCACATAACAACAACAAGGCCAACCAGATGGGAGGTATCGACCCAGAGACAAGAAGTATCTCTGTATGGCAAGGCTTGTTCAATGTTGATGACTTGGAGAAACATGGGAGCAAAATTTTTCCCCCTGAAAATTGAGAGACCCAACCAACACTTAAGATTTTATAAGTCAGTTGTCTTAGTTATCTAATGCTGCTATAACAGAAATACCACAAGTAGATAGCTTTAACAAACAGACAATTATTTTCTCATATTTTAGGAGGCTAGAAAAGCATTATGCCACCAGAGCTCCCCTAGAAGTCCAAATTCAGGGTCCCAGCACTGGAGGAAGCCTTTTCTCCTCCTTTTGGCTTTGGAGGAAGGTCCTTGTCTCTTCTGATTTCTGCTTCTGAATAATCTTCATGTGGCTTGGCATGTGTCTTACCTCATCTCTGATTCTCCTGCTTGTTTGTTTAATCTCTTACATCTCAAAAGAGATTGACTCAAGACATAGCCTACACTAATCTTGTCTCATTAACAACAAAGGCAACCCATTCTCAAATGGAATTACAACCACAGGCATAGAGATAAGGATTTACAACACATAGTTTTGAGGGACACATTCAATCCATAACAGTCAACTGTTCTCTCATTTTATAGGCCTATGCTTCATCTGAAATATTTCAGGTGTCCATTCCCCCTAGACCTCACTGTAATTTTTCCTATCTAGTTTTCTCCCTTCCTATGCTGCCTATTTTTTCCTTTTTAAAGCACAAATTAAATCAACTAAAATTTCATTTTGTGCAGAGCTAAAATCATTTTCCTTTAATACAGTTTGGCAAAGTGTCAGCACAGCTCATTTTCACCCATTTTACAAATAACCTGCTTTGCTTTTCATCATATATCTCCCCAATACACAACTGTCTCTATATCTCCTCACTGACCACCCCAGTGCCTGCTCAGCACGATCTTCCATGTTTTTCAGAACTCGGCCTTACCTTCTCACTCATTATGCTCCTTCACATACCACACATGCCCTCAGCTCCTGATGTTACATCACCATGCCCCAGCTGCATATCCCTATATCTTATCACCTTCTACCTGGTATTACTATTGTCTGTGCCCATAACTTACCTCCTTTAAATGGGAATTCATACACACATACCCCCACGGTTTCAAGCAGAGTACAAAACAGTTTTTTGTGTTCATGTGAAAAAAGATAGAGATTTCTTTCATTGTAAGCTCTGGATGTTGTTAATAAAGGTTCCAAAAAAAAAAAAAAAATGAAATCTTAAGCCACGTTATTAGACTCTAATAGTCCCATTGCACTCTGTGCCATTCAGTTCATCATTATAGTCTGTGTTTGTTACATTAATTAAGAGTGACACTGACAACCTAGAATATGTCCCAAATGGCAAGGAATTTAAAAATTAACACCAATTGACAAGCAGGGACTGTTGGGAGGAAAGAGACTTGAGCAAGATTAGAACAGCCTAAAATTATATTCTCTGTTGGGTGTGACAAGCCCCAGAATAATATATGGAAGTTACAGAAAAACATTTATTTGATCTGAGTGTTAAATAGAAGGGCTTGTTTTATGAAATAGCAGGCTCCCATTATAATAAGTGTTTTAGCAAAGACTGGATAAGCCCCAAGTATTTTAGAAGAGAGACATGTACAAGAAGCACAGGTAGTAGGTCATTCTAGAGCCTGGGTATCATTTCCTTATATTAAACAAACAAAAAAGCCTGTTACTCAGGAAGAGAAAAACAAAACCACTGAGAAAATTGTCCAAGATTTGCTGGAGAAGAACTTCCTTGAAATGATGAAAGATGAGAATATATCCATTCAGGAAGTCCAA